AGGATTCAACAAAAAAAAAAATTACAAAGGATGCTAAAAAACAGTCTGAGGAGACAAAACAACCATGATAACTAGACTCAAATATGAAACTTTTAGAACTATCAGGCTGGTGATTTAAAATTGAACTAGTTAATATCAGATAGTAATTTTAAATTACTGTAATTAATACACTAAGGGCTATAATAAAAAAGTGAACAGCATACAAGAACAAATGGGTAATGTAAACACAGAGAAGAAAACTCTAAGAAAGGATCAAAAGGAATGCTGAAAATAAAATACATTATAATACAAATGAGGAATGCCTTTGATAGGCTCACAAGTGGACTGAACATAGCCACGGAGGGAGTAAATTAATGAGAAGTAGTATCAATAGAACTCCCCAAACTGAAATGCAAAGATAAAAAAATAATTAAAAATTTTAAAAAGATTAAGAACTTGGACAAAAGGGGGATAACAAATGGTATAAAAGATACATAACAGAAATACTAAAAGGAGAAAAAAACAAACAAATGTTTAAAACAATCATGGCTGAATAGTTTTCAAAAATAATGACAAACAACAACCCATAGATCAGGAAGCTCAGAGAAAACCAAGCACGATGAATAAATACCACAAATAATCTACAACTTCAAGAGAAAAAATATTCCCACTAATAAAGGGTGATATTTCCTAGTTATGTGAGCACATATACGTTGTACATTAAACAAATATTTAATGAAAGCCAATTTTTATTTCAGCAGCTGTCTTATGTCCAAAAAATAAACAAAAATTAATAAGCTCTGGCACTCCAGATGGTCTTTCTATGTTTTTTTCTTTTTTCTTCTATCCACCTATTGATTTCCTTCCTCCCTCTTCTCTCTATCCTCCATCTATTAAAATATATACATCTTAGTTTAATAAATGCATCACCTATAGCTTAAATAGCAGCCAACAATTGGTTAGCAATGTAACAAGAAAAAAAAATATTTAATTTTATTCTTCAATATCAACTAGCTTTTCTCATTTTTGAGGTTATGGAACATCTTACAAAAGTGTAAAGTACTTCACGAAGTAGACAGGAATATTTAGTAAAAAGAATATTAGTAAAAAGAAGTCCTCACATTTGGTAAAAAAATGACTAAAACCAAATGCTGCACAGCAATATTTTTATGAAGAAATGTGAGAGAATATGATTTATACTAAATATTCAATAATTTTATAAAAATATTTGGCAACAAACTTACAAATATAGATTTATAATTTTAAAGATAAAACATTTGATAGTTTTTATTTTCAGATTGTTAATTAAACCTATAACATAAAAAATCTTCTAGTGAGTGTGTTGCTTTTTATGTTTGTTAATTTTATATATTTAGAAGACAAGGCATTTAGTAAATATCATAATTTATAATGAACTAAAAGGCATTTGCAGTATGTTTGCAATGTGGCAAAGATAATCTAATTTGTTTTCTGAAAACTATTGACAAGCATGTATGAAACTCTTTTTAGTAGCAGCTAACATTTGTAAGTTTTCCAAAGCAGCAAAAGGATTTTCACATACAATTTGTTATTTTGAAAAAATGAGAAATGTATCTGCACTCCAATTATACAAAATGTAAGATTGTTATACCAGATATTTTAACATTACCACTTTGACCCAATAGATTCTTCAGACTTTCCATTGTTACCCCACGGTATTTCAATTCTGTTAATGACTTCTTTTAATAAACTTAATGTAAAGATTGATTAATTTTGTTAGATAACAATTTACAGGGTATACTCCATTAAATCAAGTATTTCTTTGTCAATTTTCTATGAAATATTGTTTGGTAAGTTTTATTATTTTTCTATTCTCATTTAATATTATTTCCAGTGCAATAGTTATTTTCTGCATAAACTTAACAAACAAGATTTATCTATCAGGTGTTTCTTTTTTATCTATCAGAGATGTGTCCATACAAAAGAAACCCCTGATAAATAGATATTACATTTTTAATAGATTTTTTTTATAGATTTTACATTTTGGGAGGTTTTTAAACTATTAATTTTCAAAATCAAATTTTTCTGGATCAAATATCACTAGTTTAAATTTTGTCAAAAGTTTAAGGACTCCTTTATGTTTTTAAAATTATACATTTTTCCTTGAGCAATTTAACAACATGTTGATTGTTTTCATCACCAGGGGTTAACAGAAAATAAGAGATTGCTTTATTTATTTCTAAATCATTCCATATACCTCATATATTCCAAGTTTTATTTTTTCCGATCGGATATTATCACCTATCTGCTTAAATACATTTGTATGTGAAGATGTGAAGAGAGAGAGAAGAGAGAGACAGAAAGAGAGAGAGAGAGAGAGAGAGAGAGAGAGAGAGAGAGAGAGAGAGAATGTGGCACATGTTTGCCCTTGGTCAACTCAGGTAAAGAGTACAGGATGACTATGTATTACTCTTTCAACTTTTCTATAGGTTTGAATAATATAGAAATTAAGAAACTGGTAAGTGAGCAGTTCAAAGACTATACTGATCATGTTCTCTCTCCTTCTGTTTCATTCTTTCTTCTTCTTGTTTTTCAAATCCCAACTTGACCCTAATTGCTACTTTCTCTCTTATACTAGCATCAATCCTGAGGCAGAGAGAACAGAACTGAGCTGGGGAAAGCCGAGAATTTATACCCCTCTGAGATACTTACTCTTCTTTGAACATCCTCACTAAATCAAACATTGTTTATATAAAAGTAGAATGAAATTTGCATTTTGGTTTTAGAATAATTCAGTGAGCATTATTACCTAAATGCTAAGCCCAAGGCTTAATGTTTTAACATGTATTATCCATTCTAATCTTCACAACAAACATACTAGTTAGGAATTATTATAACTCCTTTTGGATGAAAATATGGAAATCATAGAGTTTATAAGCATGTTTGTTAACAATCAAATAACTCTTGAGAAAATTGGGAATTGAATCTGTCTCCAAGGTTTTCAGAAGCAGTTTTCTTATCATTTACTTAGAAGTTCCTAAATTCAGAATTTAATATCAGGTGGGCTTAGGTTTGAATTGCTCTCTTACTCTGAATAGAAACATATAACTGAACAGGTTAATCTTTAATCTGAGCCTCAGTTTCTCATATGTAATGAAAACATAACTTGTCCTGCAAGATTTTCACAATTATATATATTATAGCATAAATGCTCAGTTATAAGGGCTTAGCAAATGAAATTATTTTCATTAGATTCATGAGAAATAGCCTCAACATTTTCACTTATTTTATTGTGGAAGGGCATTTTAAAATTTCTGGAATTGATATTTCCTGATGCCAAATACAATGAAATAAGCTATTAGTATTCTTTTCAGATATTTTCTTTCATTGGTTTTCTTTTTCAATTAATTATCTAATTCTCAAAGTATTTCCATGACATTTAATATTTTTATACATCTTAATATCTGAAAAAGCCTGAAAATGGTGAAAGTTCATCATGTCTTAAAAGGCAGGCAAACAAATAAAAATTGATGTAAAGCCCCTATTTGTCACTTTCTTAAGAATCACTTAATCAGTCAATAATTATTTATTTGACAAATGCTATGAGACTCATACTGTATGAAAAGAAAATATGGCCTCTTAAATCCATGGGAAATGACTATTTTGAGAAATTTAATTCAAAGATACACAAAATTCCATCTATAGAAAAGAAACTAAGATTTAGTAACCACCATTATTTGAATTGCTGAGTATGTTTAACTTAATAAAATGACAGATATTTAAGGATGTTTTCCAGAATATTGAAACTAAGTCACTTTTTCTAAATGCGATGGTCACATTAGGGATAGACTTTGGATTTAGAGGTTAGCCCTCTGAGCTTACCTCTGAGTCAGTTAAGTCTTTTGCTACTCAAAGTATGGTCTGTTTACAAGAAGCATGACTAATTTATGTGAGCTTTTTAGAAATGGAGAAATCAAACATCACCCCAGACCTATAGAGTCAGTATATGAATTGAACCATGTCCCCAGGCAGTTCACATGCATACTAACATTTGAAGATGACAGTCTAGTCTGTCTTTTCTTCCCTGATATTTACAAGCACAAAATTTGTATATTTTCTTTTTTTTTTTTTTTTGAGACGGAGTTTCGCTCTTGTTACCCAGGCTGGAGTGCAATGGCACGATCTCGGCTCACCGCAACCTCCGCCTCCTGGGTTCAAGCAATTCTCCTGCCTCAGCTTCCCTAGTAGCTGGGACTACAGGCAGGTGCCACCATGCCCAGCTACTTTTTGTATTTTTAGTAGAGACGGGGTTTCACCATGTTGACCAGGATGGTCTCGATCTCTTGACCTCGTGATCCATTCGCCTCGGCCTCCCAAAGTGCTGGGATTACAGGCGTGAGCCACTGCGCCCGGCCAAAATTTGTATATTTTCAAAAAGCAAAGAGGTGTTCTAGATATCCCATGCAAAAATGTGGGTATTTTCCTGGCTTAAAAGTATTCCAGATCTCTCCCTAATGAGTAAAACAAAATGCTTCCACTATCAAGGAAGGTTGGGCTCAATTCTAATTATCCACCATGAACAATGGACTTTAATCAGTCTTAGTTTGTAAACGAGCAGTAGTTTTTTTATTTATCAGAATTGTTGGTTAATTAAGCAAGGAAATTCTCCAGGCAATGTATTTCTGGATGTAGGACAAGAGGCAGTGAAGGATATGTAGAAGGCTTAGTAACTTGCCTATCATTTTATATAAGTGCACATATTCCCTTGCAATGTGCTGCCTAAAAGGGTCTCATTATGCTTAAACTAAAGGAAATATCAGCACATGTAGGGGAGAATTGCAGCCTTGATCATTTCCAATTGCAGCCCTGAGCATTGTTCGAGTATTAGACATGTTTGTTTAAATACAAATCAGAAAGTTGCACTGTTGCCCAGCATTTGAAATCTACTTGGTAATTTACCTTAGAGCAATATTTGAATAACAAAAATGTTTTTAATAAAAAAAAAATTAAAGCAACCAGGAAAACAAAAACAAAAACCTTACTTTCCAAGGGCAAAACATTCCAGTTTTACAGATGAATCCTTTGCAGCTTGTATAGTTTCAGGAAAACGCACTTCAATCTTTGGTTCATATTCCCCCATCACACCTGTTAAATATCAAAAGAGCTAGCAGCATTTCTGGAGAATAGAAATTTTCTATGAAGTAAATGCTTCATTAACCAAAACCTGATTATTTCTTCTTAATAAGAATTAGGGTTTTCAATTAAGAATGTGATACATATAGATTCTAAAATGTTTCTGTTTTCAATAAAGACCCTTTTCTAGTGATATCCATATTTATCTACCTTTGACAGAACTCAAGAGAGCCAGATCTGATTTTAAAAAATAAAATAAAATAAGGAATTTTTCAGCTAACATTGTAAGAAGTCCACTATGGTAGATCTTAATCCAAAGTAACAGTATTTCTGCAGCAAAACATATAAAGTCATAACATTAATTGAGATAAGTATATAAATATTCATGTATTAGTACAGTAAGTTTTGCTGCTAAATAAGTTTGCTGTATACCTATAAAAATTTGTTTTAAGTTTTAAAATTTTGAATCCAAGGAATTGAGGATATGTGCTAAGATAAGAATAAGACAGTGGTATAAACTATTGTAAATACACTACCTACCAGAGAAGTTGTAACAGAAATATATCTGTAGGCTATTCTCATTATCTTAATTAATTTTATCAGTGACACCTCAAGATTATTTAAATACTTTGATCATTTTTAATTTATACACCAAACACCAGATTAATACATTCCTAAAATAAATAGATTGTTGGTGGCTAATATAACTGCAGAAAAAGTGAAAATTACAAAATACATATGAAATAAAAATACTTCATTTTTAAGACCTTGATCATTATAAACATTTAAAGAGTTTATGGTGAGAAGGGAGTGAGTACTACTTTATTCAACTAAGTTGATAGGTTCTATTCTTTTTCGCTTTCTTGATGTCTGATATTACTTGCATGCCCACTTTTAGAAGACGTTTGGTTATTATATTATGTATAATGCTTCTGCTCTATTGTTACCATATATGTGTTCAAGGGAATAGAGGAGATAGAAGAAAGAAGGAGTTAAGAAGGGAAGAAACGGAAACTAAGAGTAGATAGAAAATAAAAAAAGAAAGAAAAATATGGTAGAATCTCCAAGTGTATTCTTGGCTCATGAATTTTTCCAGTCATAAATAGGAGGACTCATTGAAGGAGAGAAATTGGACTTAGGAATAAGTCTAACCATTGCTGAAATCTTAATGAAGACCTTGCAGATATATTTAGATGGTTAATGATTATAAAAACTCTATTATAAGAACTCCTTCTATGGGACTTGTTTCACAATTCTGTTAGCCTTTATTAGCGTTTTATTCTTGCTTTTCTTCAGCTCTTTGGAGGGGAGAAAAACTCCATGAAATATTTCAAGTCCTGAATACAACCATAAAATGCACCAACAAATTTTCTATCTTTATGAATCCTACTGTGAACGTTTAATTAAAGAAACAACTAGAGAATTTTTCTACTTCAATGACTTCCTTAAACTTTCTGGCTCTCTAAATCTTGTACCAGCTATGACTTGACTAAGCTACAAAACTCGTCAGAGATTAGTCTGAATTATGTTCCTTCAAGGAATACAATTAGTATAAATCTTGTGTTTTGTTCTTCTTTAGAATGCTCATAATTAACATTAGTCTGCTTTACTTTCCTTGGATATAAAATTTTCCCTCCATTTTGCCAGCCATGTAAATAAAGGGTGAACAAAAAAAGGGCAAATATGGAAAATAGGGGGCATTAAAAAGTAGCTGTAACATACGTTCATTAAAAATATATTGATTCAGTTATATATGTTTGGCAGCACCCACACGTGCACACATACACACACGCCAACTCCCCCGAATATCATTTTTGCTTTCACAAAGTAGTCTTTAAGCAAAAAGAGACAGTTGTTTCAATGCAAGAAAGGAGATGGCTTGGTATACCCAGAACCATGTATACTGCACCAGGTGGGTGAATTAGAGAATTTTTTATTATACTTCTTGTTTACATATTTGTGAATTGAACCTAAACTCATAGATAATGTGGCTTCACCCAACAAGAAGGAAGCAGAAAGCTTTGAAGATCTTCCCAGGCTTTAAGGGCCACAGATAAAGTATATTCCCAAGATAACTCATTATCTTACCATCAGTACGCTGCACTAATGGAGTGGGTGGACCTTGAACACTTCTCTGGGCCTCCTTGTTTGTTATAAAGCAAGTGTAGTTGCCCACATCTGATGGTTCCACTTTGGCAATGTACAAGTTTCCCGTTTCTTGAGATACAAATCGCCTATTGTCCTCTTGGACATATAAGGGGTTATCATTGAAGGTCCATGCATAAGATAAATCTGAAAAACAGAAAAAGAAAGCCAAAATCATACTTTCATTACTGCATTCATTCATATCTGAAAATTCTTTGCCTTACTTCTCCATAACTAGAAGAAAACTGTGCCTCTATTTGCTCAGTCAATAGCTGTCATCTGGGGTAATTGTAACATTCCCTTACATTGAAATATATCTCAATTTTGATGATACATTATCTGGGCGCTTTGCCATCATTGATGTTTTGAGATTAAAGATGTAACAATAGGATGTTAAGGAAATAAGTGGAAGAATTTATTAAGAAATTTCATAAGATATATATACACAGAATTCCTTCAGCAAAACTTATGCTGCTTCAAAGCAGTGTTTCCCAATGCATTATCAGAAGAATTAAACATACTTGCAGGTACTTGTTAAAAATTTAAGTTTAAGAACTCTACCACAGATCTTGAAGTTCATTCATTTGATCATCATATAATTTCCTTTTTATTTTTATAGAGACAGGGTCTCACTATGTTGCCCAGGCTGATCTCGAACTCCAGAGCTCAAGGGAAGCTCCTGCCTCAGCCTCCCAAAGTGCTAGGATTACAGGCATGAGCCACTGCACTGGCCTGATTATTACATGGTTTCTAAGCAGCTATTCTGTGACAGTTTTAGGTCTTAGAGTAAAACCAAACAAAACCTGTGCCCTATGAAGGTCACATCAGTTACTGCTAATTGCCAATAATGTGGGTAATCTCAATGGAAGATGACATATGCTTTGACAAAGGCATTATAGGCATTTTTTCTACAACTGCAACCACTACTGGATTTCTATCATCATAAATTATTTCTGCTGTCATTTGTATGTCATAGGAATCAAACAGGATGGACTATTTTATGTCTGATTTCTTTCTTTTAACATAATTTTAAGGTTCATCTATTGTTGTCATGACTATAAGTCCTTTCTTTCATGATATTGTGGATGGCACTCAATTTTATGAATATATCTTAATTTGTTTAGACACCTTTCCACTGATGAGCATTTGGATTATTTCCAGATTGAGGTCATTATGTATTAGGCTGAAATAAGTATCCTTGTCTAAGACTGTCTGTGTACATTTTTATTTTTCTTGGCTAGGTTCCTAGGAGTAAGCTATAATGTAGATATATGTTTAACTTAATAAGAAATGTCAAAAGATTTTTCTAAAGTGGTTGTACCAGTTTATACTTCCACCAGTAATATTTGAGGGTTTCAGTTGTCCTATAGCCTCACAAAAATCATGTGCTGTCAATTTCTTTTTTAGCCAGAAATATTTGAGCAAAGGCAAATATTCATACGTATTAAAGTTTAGTGAATATAATTCTTCGTGAAGCTAAAAAATTAACTGAACTGTGAAAACTAGGTAGAATAAAATTACGTCTAGGGAAGTGGAAGAATATAGTCGGTTCAAAGGGGACCCCTAGAATAGGTAGAGGGTATAGGTACTCAGGGTTGAGAAGGGGAATGCACTGCAGCTAAGTAAAAACAAAAAAGGCTTCACTTGGATGGCCCCTCATATATTTGGGAATCACAGCTCACAGGGGAGCAGTTTATACATCTTGGAACCTCTTGTCCAGAGAGCTGAGTTCCTATTTGCCAACTGTACTTATATTAAAAACTGGCACAGAAGCAAGACATGGCAGAAACAAAAGAAACAAATTATCTCTGATATGTTCCAGTAGGCTTCCTCAGCTGGGAACAGACCATCTGAAACATTCTTCACTAATCTTGCTAAATTTAAATTACCAAAACTACATGGTGGCAAAACAAACTGACACCTATTTTGGACTTAAATCTGATCTGCAGAGACAAACTCTTGAAAGTGGGAATGAAGGAATATTGTCATTTTATCATTCCTTCCATCAAGAAAAAAAATGTATAAAGCATGAACCATACACTTAAAAAATGAGATTTTTAGGAAGAAAGAAAGAAAGAAAGAAGGGAGAAAGAAAAAACAGGAGAAAGGAAATGTGAAATGAACGAAAGAGAAGGAAATAGTGAATCTATTAATAGTGGGAAGGAGCAAAAGAATTAATTTTTCAATTTATTAATGATGTCAGTAAAAAGAAATTTATCTCTACAGACAGAATCTAGATATCATTCCCAGGAATGAAGAAGACATGAGGTAAAGATTTGACCAGGAATAACAGTAACACAGCAAATGCTACTTATGCATCTTGCAAATGCTACAAATGCTACTTGCAAGAGAAAATGCAAAAAGTGTCATTTAACCTATAAAAGTAGTGTCAAGTAGGAAAAAATACCTCAGCAGCAGTTTTATGTAAAAAACATGTTATGAGTGTGGGAATGTGTGTGTGTGTGTGTGTGTGTGTGTGTGTGTGTGTGATGTTTATGCAGATTATTACATTTAAAAACATGAAGATGTATACAGTGGTCTTCTCAGAGTGGGTTGAGGGAAATACAAAAGGCTTTTACTCTCTTTGTAATGTGTTTCTGTCACATTAGAATTTTAAATTAATATCCATTTTTTGGTGTAAATTGAAAAAAGAAACAACAGAACAAGAATAGTGTCAGAAAGTCTAAACACCAGAATGAGGTGCAACTTGTAAAAACAGGATAGATAACATTTCTTATTCTTACTCTGCACTGGTCAAATTGGTGTTTTATGTTTTATTCAGGCATTAATTCCCAAACCTGATGCACATTAGAATCACTAAGGAAGCCTGTTAAAATACAAATAGCTAACTCAATTCTTAGCAAATTCGTTGTATTTATTCTGTCTAAGCCAGGTATTGTGGAATCTGTGTTTTTAATACCCTCCAAATGACTCATACAATTGACTAAAATATTTTGTTCAGAGCAACCATTATTGAAAGAGGAATTTAAAATCTCAAGTTTATCAAGAGATAAAAAACAAAATGCAGCAAAGGCTAGTCACAAAAGAAAATGATACAACCTTGATTTTAGCACTGGGAAAAAAGATTTGGGAAGCATATTACAGCTGTCTTTATACACTGAAGGGCTGTCTCATGTATAAAAAGTTAAATAAAATCCTATCAATGTTCAGAAGGTAAAAGTAGAACTTGTGGCTGCTGGAGGTGACAGAATGCTGTTAGACTTAATATAATGAAGAACAGTCTAAATTTTAGGATAGTAGCAGATGATTTACTAGGTAGTGAGCTCTTTATCATTAGACATGATCAAGCAGTGTATGGATGAACACTACTTGAGATGTTATTAAAAAAAGATATTTTGACAATGAATGGAGGTTAAAGCTTAGCTTCTATGAATGGTTTACTCCACCCTCAACATTCCTTTGATCTCCCTATGAGAGTCTATGCTTTTGGATCAAATATGCATAAATACAATTTGCTTTTTATTTTTGAAAAATGCTTTGAGATTCTTATGCTGTTCTCATGTATTGAGTCTTCATTTTCTTTTGCAAGTCCCTGTTGGAGTCTTTCATCATTCCATGTGGTCTCTTGCTTCAAAGTTTCTTTACTGATGTCCTTTGCTGCCTCACTTCTAAGCCTGTTGCTGTCTCCACCAAAGAGACGCTCAAAGGGTTTTTGTTTGAAACCAGAGTCGTCTAGATAGTAAATTTTTCTTCAATATAAAAAGGAGGGAAAAAATGTAGTTCAGATTCTCCTGTTGTCATTGACTCCTCATCTTTTGAACTGTTCGTGAAATAAAGACAATCTTGAGCAAATTCCTAGGGCCATGTCTCAGGTTATGGATCCTTATTCAATGCCTATTTGTGGAGAGAAATAAGCTTTAGCTCTCTGAAATCCAATGTCACCCCTTTCACTTAACAAAAATTACAGGTTGCCACTAGTGCCCAAGAAATCTTTGTATTCTACAACCTGTAATCTTGTGACTGGAGACTGTAATTTTCCTCTCTCTCCTGGTGAATTCATTTTTACCTTAGCTGCTAAAACTTTCCAATTTATTCCTACTTGTGGTGTATCCTTCTTTAATAGTGGAATATTTAGAAGCTCCTGGAAGAATCTAGTTCAGAAATAAGAAAGATTACATAAAGATTAATAATAAATTTTGAAAAAACTTTCATCATGCCAGCAATTGCTTTATGAGGCTAAAACATATTGCTAATATCTCTGTTATAGAGAGAGGTTCAGGAACTAACAGTATAAAGGTAATTTCCCAAAATTGTATTCATAACATGTGGGAGGAGTAGGGCTTGAACCTAGATCCTGCAGATGCCAAATCCTTGCTCTTTTCCTAATGATACTGTCAGATGCCTTTGAACCAGAGCAACTCCATCTTGAATAGGGGCTGTGTAAAATGGGGTTGAAACCTACTACTGGGTTGCATTTCCAGAAAGTTAAGGCATTCTAAGTCACAGGATGGGATAGAAAGTCAGCACAAGATACAGATCATAAAGACCTTGCTGATAAAAAAGGCTGGAGTCTTTAAAGAAGCCCGCTAAAATCCATCAGCATCAAGAAATAAATGAGAGTGACCTCTGGTCATCCTCACTGCTACACTCCCATTAGCACCAGGTCCATTTACAAATGCCATGGCAACATCAGAAAGTTACCTTACATTGTCTAAAAAGGGGAGGCATGAATAATCCACCCCTTATTTACCATATGATCAAGAAATAACCATAAAAATGGACAACCAGCAGCCCTCAGGGCTGCTCTGTCTGCAGAGGGATCATTCTTTTATTCTGCTACACTTTCCTAATAAACTTGCTTTCACTTAATGGACTCGCCCTGAATTCTTTCTTGTGCAAGATCCAAGAACCCTCTCTTGGAATCTGAATCTAGACCCATTTCCATAACAATGCCTTTCTACTTTTCAATGTCTTTAAAATTGATCCTCTTTTTCTATGTTCATTTCCTCTCCTTGGCTCTTCCTCCTCACCTTTAACCTTCCTTCCCAAATCCCAAGCTCCTCAAGTAACCAACCCTACTCACATTCTAAGACAAGTATTCCTCACTGTTCATTTCCTCCCCCATTGACATTGCTTGTTCTGCATCCAATTTTTTAAGAACCTCATAGATTAATAAGTTAAACTGC